CGTTATTAAGGACTAGCAGATATATAATTTTATATATTTTGAAAAAAATTGACCCGAACCTAAAACTTAATTTCCACCGCTAAAAACATTTTCCCAGAAAAAACAAATGTCATTATCAGAAAGGGCACGTCAAAATCTATCGGTTCATATTGTTACGTTTTTTTTCTAGCTATTTTCCATCACTTGTAAGCGTGTTTCACTCATATATAGTACAATAAGTAACAATATCTTGAGTTACTTCTCTAATATTTTCATTACTTCTGAAACTGCTATACTCGTTTTATAAAGTAAATATGAGACCATTGACTGAACGATTTTCAGAACCACCAAATATTTCAGAACAAACATCATTTGATATTCATTCGCAAAGGCTTATCACCTTATAAACGTAATTTAAGAATTGGTACAATAATAATATTGATAAGTAATTTAAGCATACTAGACGGTTTATGTGATGGCACACGATTAAGAATTACTAAGTTATTGAAAATCAGCGTGGAAGAAGAAATTATTATTTGGGAAAAAACGGATGTAGTGTTTTTATTATAAGAATAACATTAAACGCTAGAAATATCTCTTCACTATCTGTTATTATATGTCGTAAGCAAATCCCAATAGTAGTGGCATTTGCCATGACTATCAACAAATTTCAAGGTCAGAATTTCGATAATGTAGATTTATATATAAGAAAACTTATGCTTCCTTACGATCAGTTATATCAAGATGAAAAAATAACAATAGTATATTCATTCAAGTATACTATGAAAGACGGTAGGCGGTGAGATGGGAAAAATGGTGCGTGAGGCTGTTACGGGTCGGTGGAGGTTTTCTAAAAAGGTGAAATATGTCTATTTGTCCTTTTTCATCCTTCATTTGTGAGTCTTTTTTATATCGTTATTTTTCTATTTATGTATTTCAGTGTTTATTGTGTCTTGTCATCGTAGTTGAAAAAAAATATTTTAACTCTTTATCTCTATAATTAATTCTTTACGTCTACTTTTATCCCGCTGTCTCTGAATTATTAAGTCCTTAAACTAGGTCATATTGCTATTGTCTTTATTTTCTGTGTTTTTTTTATTTATGTTTGTTTTAGTTTTTAATTGTTTCTACGTCAGTTACACCAATAGTATTTTTAGTATCATTTAATGTCAAAAGTTATCTATAAAACATATGTTTATTTAAAGTAATTTATCCATCTGTTTTACTCTTAGGTAAACTATATCTCATTGTCTCAATTACAGTCTTACTTAGTGGGTTTCAATTAATTTATATTCTGTTTGTGTGAATTTTAACAAGAAAACAATTTGCTACAATAATGGACATGTGATTGTATTTGGTTCGTAAGGGAGGCATAATTATAAACTGAATTCGTAAAAATTTATAACATAAAGACAAATATGACAACAATATTATGCACCTACTAGTTAGAATCGCTTACTGCAAATCTTGACGGATTCGCAGAATAGGAAGTTATCTTGCAGGATTTTATCTTGCAGAATTTGAGACAAAACCTCAGGAAGGCTTTTTTCTGATTTTTTCTGAAAAAGTACTAATCTCTCCTATCTCTTTATTTCAATAAAGAAACTAACGTCAACGCTCCACAGTAATTAATACTACTGATGTTCTGTGACTGTTAAGAACAGCAAGAATATATACTTTAAGTGTGTCATTCTAATAATGTACTAAAAAGGCCTGCGATAATTAAAAACCACATGATATACTATTCACTGTGGTTCTATGTATCATGTTCTATAACCATTAATGTTAAACGAGTGCATAACTTTATATCAAAATTTTATTTTGCAAATGTAAGAACAAACACCTTAGATTATAGTCAATGTACCACGATGTATTAAAAAAAACTTCCTTACAGTACAAGTTTAATTGATTCTTTTTTTTATTATGATTATATTATGTTTTTTCGTTTTATGTTCATGTACATTTGGTAATAGCAAACTCCAAGTTTATCATTCGAAATTAATTTATCAAACAATAATAAAACCTGTTTTAGGTATTAATTGATAAAGAAAGAATTGAGTATGGTCAGCTTGAAGATGATTGGGATTTTCTTCCTCCCAAAAAAATTAAAGATCCGTCTAAGTCAAAACCGGATGATTGGGATGATAGACCTACTATTCCAGATCCAAATGACAAAAAACCTGAAGACTGGGACAAACCTGAACATATTCCTGATCCAGATGCTTCAAAACCAGAAGATTGGGAAGATGAAATGGATGGAGAGTGGGAAGCTCCTGTTATAGATAATCCGGAATACAAGGTATAGTGAATAACATGTACAAAAAAAAAGCATGATGTTAAGTGACATATAAAAATACGTTAAAGCAAATTGCTGTGTGCTAAAATTTTTTACTTTTATAAGGGTACGTGGAAGCCAAGACAAATTGATAATCCTGCCTATAAGGGACCATGGGAATACCCCGAAATTGACAATCCCGATTATGCACCTGATTCTAAATTATATGTCAAAACCGAAATTTGTGCGGTAGGATTTGACTTGTGGCAAGTAAAAAATGGAACCATTTTCGATAATATTTTGTTAACTGATGATCCCGATTATGCTTCTCAGAAAGGAGATGAAATTTGGAAACTAAGAATTGTGAGTATTTTTTAGGTATTTAAAAATAATAAAATTGTACTTTATCAGCTTTATAAATGACAAATAGAGAAGTTTTATTTTAGGATTATATAAATGTTCTTTTGAAGGCACATTAGTTTTTTTGGCGTTAATTTATAATACGTACTTTTTGAATTTTTATTAACAATATACAGAAATTACTATTTATTATTTTTTTTGTTTCACATATACATGTAAATTACTGGTCTAAACAACGTTAATAATCTGAAATCGTTAATACAAATTTTAGTATGTGTATTACATACAAATAAATAAAGTGCACTCATTTAGTGCTTCAAGGAGAAAACTCTATAATCAGCCTCAAAAAACTATCTCATCATAGACGACTGACAGTTTTTATTGTGTCTACAAACAAAATCAGCTATCGTAAATATTTCTAAATAATTTATATTTTCTTCCTTTCCTACCTTTTACGTTAACATAGCTTCACAAAATCAAAAAAATATTGTTCATTGAACTAGTAGGTCAATCTTATGTTTTCAAGATCACTCAATCTAAATATGTGGTCTGATTTTTTCTATCAAATCAGATTTTTTCCATATCCTCATAGAAAAAGCTTGAAAAAAAAAATTTCTCTCAACTTGAATCCTTAAAGTCTTTCTCACAGAAAAAAGCCAAATAACAATTTAACTTATGAACCCCCCAATTTTTCGAATATCGAGTTTCTAAAACTGTAGCCGCAAAATATCCCTTCTCGTTATCAACCGGTCTGTTGTAAAACCTATCAAAGGTATTTAATCTTTCCGACTATTCGGCTACTTGCTCGTCGAAGGATTCATTTACTCTTGCCTCTTTTAAAACTACTTTTATCCAAATCCTGACTGTGTTAAAGAAGATTGGACTTAACGGAGGAAAAAAAGAGATTAGTGGCTGCTTAGCAGAGCCTCTTATCGTCTCTGTTTTTTGGATATACGCTTCTACCGTACATGTGATGCAAAAAGCCTTATTGTTAAAAGATAGAAAACAGGCTAATAGCTGTTTTGCACCCATCCTGGACGTCATTATAAGATCGAAGATCCTTATGTTGAGGGTCTTTGAACCTTTTGTTTTCTAGTTTAATAAGGGTCAAAGCCTAAACTCTGAAAGCTGAAAAAATTGCCAATAGCATGTTCTTTAGGGTCAGACTGCAAAAATATATGGGTGAAAATAAAATGCTCAAGGTGATAGATGAAATCATTCGTTTGACCGCATCCGATTTAATGTACCATTGGTCAAAGGCCTGCTGAAAAGAGCCCTGCTGCTAGGAAAATAGACGTTGATGGATGATGAGACTTAACTTTCTATGTAGTAAGGGAATAAGAATCTTAGATGGATTTTTTAAGCTTTCTTGATGACAATTAGAGATTTAAGGTTGAAAGATATTCTTTATAGCCATTTAGCTTACTCAGAAATTTTGTTTCCATTTCTACTGTTTTTTAAACACGAATACGTGGGTGTTTAGTGATACCGCTTTATTGACCAAGAATCATAGAAAGAATTTCCAGGTCTCCAATATGTGCTATCTGTGTTTTAAATTCTTTCACTTTTCTTAGACAATTATACGATTGCATATTGCTCTATTGTAAACGTCAAATGTACAACGAAAACTGCTGAAAATTTATCCGTATTACGTGGTAAAACTGTTTTGGATTTAGTGTCAATTATTAAATTCATTAAATGAGTTAGTGTCATAGAAAAAACATTGTTGAATATCATTTCACTCGGATTATGTATACTGATGTAAGACTATAATCGCTTACTTCTTACCCCGGTAAAGTCATTATTAGTATCACTATTATTTAATTTCTGTTCTTCTTCTTCATCCCATTTTTATTCGCTGGTGTTATTCACACTAAAATTCACAAAACCAGAATAACCAAAAGCAAAAAGCAAACTTGTTCTACAAACTAATAGTCCCTAAAATCTTTAACTGTAATCTTTACGCAGCACTAATCATGGCGTTTTACATGCGCCACAGTACATTTTATGTAGAGATGACCACTGCAGTCTAGAATCGCTATCACAAGTGGTCGGTCGCGTCAGTCATAAGAATATGCGTGGTCTGTAGACTCTTACTATGAACTGTGTACAAGGGGCTCTATTATAAACATAAACAACTTATACATGTATGCACGCACTATGTAGTACATGTATTAGGAAACATAACAATCATGAACGTTTTTTTATGTAAATACACAAGTGGGGCTTTGCTCTCCCCACGCTTTATTTACTAACCTCCCATAAATCGATTGTAACTTATATTTTAAAACTTTTTTAGTAAGTTTACTTTTTGATTTCTAATAATCTCACTACTATGATATTATTTCGATCTTGGACACGGTTGGCGGGCGCTGCAGCGCACGGACGTATCGTCAATAGTGTCCGTGCTGTGTGTGTATTTTCGTGATGTTCTGTGGCGTAAAAAGCGGATGAAAAATGTTTTAAGATAAAAAAGTAGGCTAATAACGCCCTAAGTAAGTTATAAGTATGAAAGTGGGTTAAAGAAGGTGCATACAAGACTGGAAAAGTGTAGTACATTTTGAGGTTATATTGGTTCAACCATAAGTGACAAGGGTATAGTCGTCGGTGAAAGATGGCGCCAAGGATAGATGAGGGGAAGACGGCAGCGAAACAGTTGAACCCCATCAAAAGTGCACAACTAAAACCCGCTCTGAAGCCAACTGAGTCAGAACACAAGGCAAAAGAAGGAGAGGAAAAACTAGACGAAGGAAGAAAAGACAGGGAGTAGGAAGCAGTCTAGTCAAGACGATTCTAGCACGGTATCTTTCGAAAAAAAACGATGTCAAAGAGAGCGAAAAGGTTATGGAACACTTGGAACTAAAAGAAGAATATAGAAAATGCAGGCAAGAGAGGGAGGAAAACAAGAGAATGAGACAAAGCTACACAGAACAGATCCAAAGGTTTAAATGAAACATGCTTAGGTTGCTTAAAAGGATAGTTAATATTAAGGAGAGGAAGATGCTGTCAGCAAGCATGCTAAAGAGACTGGAGAAGAAGTTGGAAGAGGCTTGGCGAAAAATTGCATGAAGAAGATTCAAATGAAGAGACGTCAGGTGGTGGGACAACAAGAAACAGCAGCAGAGGGAAAGCATCAGTGAAAAGACGGAGGTCATGTGGGAGTACAGGTAGCCAATTATCGGTAAGGGACGTTTTGCGAGTTAAAAAGTTAGTTCACGAAAAAGAAAAAGAAAAAAGAGCAAATAACATCATTATACATTATAAAGGAAGAAAGTTCTGCTGCGGGAGATTTTAAAGAGCAGCTAGAGAATCTGTTTAAAAATGTTTTGAAAATTAAAATGTAAGTGTTGAGTGGAAGAGTAAGTAATAAATGTTTAAATAATAAAATGTATATTATTAAAAAAAAGTATGAGTTGAAAGAAAAAAATATGTCTACAGAAAAGGATTTGTCGTTCAAGGAAAAAAAAATCAAGAACAGATCATGAGATGGGTTAAAAAGCAAAAATGCACGTTAGAAGGTGAAAACAGGGTTTGGCAAGACTAAATTTAAAGGGATTGGTATAGATAAAAAGAAAATATGATTTCACAAGGACAAAGGGTAAAGTTTACAGAAGTTAGTAACGAAGAAAACAGATGGAAGACAGTAAGGGAGATAAAAGAAAAAAGAAAAAAAACAGGAAAAAAGGGGAGGGAAAGGTAAGAAAAGGGGCAGAAGGGAGAACAAGAGATAGTCAGGGAGGGGAAAAGACGTTGAATAAGTCTTTTGCATAAGCCAGAAACGACAAAAAGTGACAAATAACACAGAAAATATGAAAAGGTGTGATCATATTATAAATAAGATTATTTTTGGAACGTAGCAGGGATTTGAAACGAGGATAAAAATTTCTGGGAATATATAGAAGATGCGATTTAGTGAGCCTGTTGGAAACCTGGATAGAGGAAAAAGGATGAAATAATTTTAAAGAAAAATTGTCTATGGAATTTTTATGAGAGGCAGTGCACGCAATGAGACATAACAAAAAAGGTAGAGCAAAAGGAGTTTTTATTATTGACTTGAAAAAGGGGTTTTACAATGCAAATTGTAAGTTAACTTAAGTCATGGAGTTAGGTATAATCAGATCTGAACTAAAAGGATAGGAAATAAAGGAAAAGTATAAATGTTTTTTCAACATATAATAGAGGAGATCTTGTAAGAACTGTGGAAATTCTAGTAAATTTAGATATGGTAAATTAAGGTAGATTACGAATCGGTGGGGATTTTTATATAAGAATAGGTAATGTGAATTGAGGTGGCTGAGAAAAATGAAAGATTAAAATAAAGCAAGGTGTAGTAAAGACATAGTGATAAGTAATAAAAGAGGTAGACTTATAGATTTGATAAATGATAAAGGTTGTTTTTTGCTAAATAGCTCGATAGAGGGGAATTACAAGGGGGAGTTTACATATACAGGTCCTAGGAGAAAATCAGTAATCGATTATCTGTTAACTAATACGGAAATGTTATAGTTGATTCTAAGTTTCAAAGTTGGTCATAGGATAGAGTCGGATCATATGCCGTTAGAAGAATTATAAGAGGATGGGGGGATAGATTTGAATGAAATTACTTACGACAGAAAACAAGACGTGAGCAAAAAAGTCGTCTATACGTGGACAAAAAAAAGCATTCAATTATTTAAAGTTGGTACAGAATAAAGTTTAGGTTGTAGTACATGAAGGACAAAGAAAGCTTAGAGAACACTGAATGAATACGTGCTGAGTGCCATGGTTTAAAAAAATAAAAAAATAAAAAATTAAGATAAAAAAAACAAGTTTTAATGGTTAGTGGGACAGAAATTGTAAAAATAAAAAAAAGGAAGGCAAAAATGATGTTGTTTAAGGTGGCAGACAGAATGTGGGGACGAAATGAAGTACGTAGAGGCTAGGAAAGATTGGAAAGAAATATGTTGGGAAAAGGAAAGAGAGTTTTAGAAAAGACAGATGGAAAAGCTACAATACATTAAACA